TCCCTCCTCCAACCTTTATCAGGTGTTAGGAGGGAAAAGGGTGTTAGTAAAAGACCTTTATCAGGTCTTACTCTTTCAAGCATTGCTATGCAAGGTTAATTTGTCACAGAAGCAATTTTCTAGGGGGCAGTTCTGTAATTGTACTTTTTATGGTACTGCTCATCTTCAACAGGAGAATAAACTGAAAGTCTGTTAGTTTATCTGAAAAGAATGCTTAAACTCCTGGTGAAATAACTTTCTAGCTAGTGCATGCTTCATGTCTAAAATATGCACAGTATTTTTATTGTGAAATGCAGAGATGCAATTTGTACACTAACAACTTCATGACTTAAGTATTTTTAATGCAAAGCACAACATGAACTTCCTATGTGGAATAACTTAGTTTACTTGGATGAATTAAAGGTGATCACTTTTCACATGCCCTTGAGATAACTGCCACAGAGACTGAAATATTTAAACAATCCCTTAAACTGCAGACCCCAGAAAGGCATTTTCCTGTGAATCTTGCTCTCAAGGCAGTATGGGTGTGAATCCATGTCCATTCTGTGATCCTTAGCATACAGACTAAGCAAAGGAGTTTCCTTCTACCTGCTTCTATTTCTGCCAGGCTGCATGCTTACACACTACCCTTTGTTGTATGGCACTTATAGCATTTTTTATTGCTGTCAAGTTAGCTGAACTGAAGTAAAAAACTCCAGAGAGAAAAGTGATGTACCAAGAGATGCATACTAACAAAACTCCCTTACTAGAAAAGCCTAGGCTGAAAACATATCTAACTATGCCTCTTGCACTCTTGCTTTCCTGTTTGTACCTAAGGTTAAGGCATTCTATTGGGTATTAAAGCACTCCCCAATTCAGACTTTTAGGTTAGGAATGATAGATATGCTCCTTGCCCACTTGGGAGGTATGTGTAAGATTACAGTCCAGCTCTGAAAATACAGCCTCACGTCCAAGATGGTGTATCAGGCTTCAGCAAGAAATTGCCTTCTGCACAGCTGACAAGAGTTAAGTCAGAAGTCTCTTTTCTCCAAAACATAGAAGAAGTATGGGGAGTCATTTTAAACAATTAATTCATTCTGAGTGTTGTGCTGATGGACATAAAGTGAAACAAAGATTGGAGTAAATGAAAGAATCAATTTGATTTTTTCCCATATTAGTATTCTTTTTTTCATATTATTATTATTTCCATATTGCTATTAGTGCCTTCACTGAACCAATTGGAGGAGGAGAATGGCCTGCACATTGAATTATTCTGTTTGATACATTGGTACTGTTTCTCTTTCAGATGAAGTGGACTACAGCAATTTCGGGACCAATACGCTGTCGAGGAAGAAGAAGGCTCTGGTGACACTGCGCAATGACAACCTCCGCCGGCGTCCCCACATCAACATTAGTATGCCTCATGATTTCAGACCGGTGTCTTCCATAATTGATGTGGACATTCTCCCCGAAACACACAGGAGAGTGAGGCTGTACCGACACGGCTGTGAGAAACCCTTGGGGTTTTACATTCGCGATGGCACCAGCGTAAGGGTGACTCCTCACGGACTGGAAAAAGTTCCCGGTATCTTCATCTCCCGTATGGTTCCTGGTGGCTTGGCAGAGAGCACAGGCTTGCTGGCTGTGAATGACGAAGTCCTGGAAGTCAATGGCATTGAAGTAGCAGGAAAGACTCTTGACCAAGTCACAGACATGATGATTGCCAACAGCCATAATCTCATTATCACGGTCAAGCCCGCAAACCAGAGGAACAATATTATCCGGAGCAGTAGGATGTCTGGTAGCTCTGGCCAGTCTACAGACAGCACTGCGAGTCACCATAGCTTGCCTACATCCCACGTGCTGCAGAACTTCCACCCTGATGAAATGGAGAGTGACGAAGAGGCTGACATTGTCATCGAGGGTGGTCTGGAGCCACAACACATTCCGAAACTGCACAGCCTTACTTCCAGTAGCCTCTCTCGAATCAATGGCAGCAGCCTTAGCCACAGACTTCAAAGGGACCTGGTGCTCAACAGCAGCTCTGGCCGAGAAAGCAATGGCAACATCCACAAATTACTCAGTTCCTTAAAAACTGATCCCCGACACAGTCTGGTTATCCCCAGAGGAGGTATCGAGGAGGACGGAACAGTCATTACACTTTAGTAGCAATTTCTGCAATTCTCCTTACAGTCTTAAGTGCCAATTGGGACAATCTACTTGTGCAACATGTGCACGAAACAGGGAGCTGATATTCTCACAGACCTCATGGGTGCAGAAAATTGTTGCTTTCTAGGAAATGTGACATCTGGAGTTAGACATAAAACTATCATGCACTGCAAAATTTGTCAGGAGAAAGCCAGAGTGCAAATCCTGGTTTATGTCCCAGCCCTGAAGTGAGAACACAAATTTGTTTTAGTTGGTATAAACCTAAGCAGTCTTATAGGCTACCCATGGCAGTGTTATATACTCGGGTTTGAAAGCATGGGTAGACATATTTATACATGCATATATATTAATTAGATTTTAATAGTAACAGACATGTCTATTTGAAGTGGAATCTGGTTTTCTTCTAATACCAGCTAAGGAGAGAGTGCTTCCTAATAGCTATCCCATCTTCTTCTGTTACATACAGCCCTTCTGCCGACTTGTTTACACTGTCTTTTCAGCGTTATGTCTAATCCAGACGAGCTCTGTAAAAGCAGCCGTTTCCTATTCCGGTGGTAACAGCGTTCGGGAGACGCTGCAGACACGTTTTCCAAAGGAAGCGATAGAAATCCATGTCCATGCAAACCCGCGTGCTTCCCCGGGCCGTGGCCGCCTGCCCATGGGCGCCCCCTGCCGGCCGGCGGGCAGCGCCGCTGCCTTCCTGTCTTCTCCCACCGTATTTATTAGATGATACCTCCCTTTTTTTGGTTTGTTTGGTTTTTTTTTCTCCCCCCTTCCCGCATCATCTCTGTTTTTTCAAAATCATGGTTCATGTGAGTTTTTAGGTGTGCAAGCCTCAGTGCTGACGCAGGTCCTTGCTGTACTTTTGGGGCAACCCGAATCCACGAGGTCTTTCCTTGACAAGAGATTGCCCTGCAGAGGAGAGGGCTGCTGACTCTCTCTCAAGCCTAACTTAGAATAGTTCTGTTGTTTTTGGACTCCTCCAGTAATAAAGCTTAATGTCTACACAGGACTTCTACAAAGTTAAAATATACTGGATATTTGTGAAGGCCAGACACCTTTGCTGGGTGGCCAGGTGGCTAGTGAGTGACCAGTGACTGTTGAGTCAGTACCTGTCTGCTTCTGGAAACACCATGAGTTTTATGAAAGTGGTCTAATCTAAAATATTTTGTTATATCTTGATCAGTGTAAGGAACAAAATATAAATGTTTTAAAATGTATTTTTCTACTTTTAGCTTGTGTCATTTGCTCTTTGTTTTTAACTTTGTAGTACATTAAAGCTTTTTTTTATATGGTGGAATAGACATTTCCTAAATATTTTATGAATATGAAAATTCAGGAGTCTTGGTTTGGAAAAATTACATTCCGTTTTGGAATCTGTAATGGCTGGAAAGGATGTGTGGACTAATTAATTGTCACTAATTTAGAATACCTGTGGAACAACCAGTCTTCTGCTCATGGTTAAATATCTTTGGGACATTGAACTTAGTTTATTTCTTTTAGATTTGCTTTAAGAGTTTATTTTAAAAGTCTTTCACTTACTCTAATTAAAACTTTTCTAGGTATCAAAGCAGCTATAGAGCTGTACTTATTTTTCCCAGCACAGTAAGAATAGAACAATGATCCTGTTCGTCTTAAAACTGTGTTTGTACTTTACCAAAGGTTTTCATTTAAAAGAATAAATCTGATTATTGGTGCAGTAAAACAAATGAATAGCTGGATATGCTTCAGTCAATCAGACCATCTTATCCGGAAAAACTTGTTACACCTTAAATAAGACTACTTTTATGAATAAGTGGATTTGTCTGGCTGAAGTTACTCATTTTACCTTAGTTAACTGATGAAAATGTGACCTTGTCTGCAATAAAATGTTCGCTGTCTTACTTCTACTCGGTATTTTCTCCCCATGCCTCAAGCATTTTCTATGGAAGTATCTCCCCTCCCTATGAAAACAAGGTATCCAGTTTGGGTGCCTCTTCAACCATGCAACTATTTTAGTGCAGTATCTTTTCTCCTTGCTGCCTTTACTAAAGATTCCTGTTACTCTGATTTCCATGGGAAGCAAGGAGCTTCCTACCCTCCTCACAGCATGGCCTGCTGCAGACCTCTGGGCTTTGAGGGATAATTCTGGCTCCATGGAAAGAGGCCAGGATAGCTCTGATGGCCACTCTGCACCCGTTTGCCCGCAGCCTGCTGGCTGTCACTGCCCATAGAAAGTGTCCTGGTACCATCTATCCAAACTTTCCACCCCATTCATGCAGGAGCGAGGAAGCATAAGTTGTTTCACACGCATGTACAGATTACAAACTGAGAAATCCAGCTGTTGCTGTGTCGGCCTTGGATCCAACACTTTGTGAAATAACTTTTAAGGCTTGCAGACATTTTGTGCAGCATCTTCGTGGGGAAAATACACACACACACAACCCAGCTTCTATTCTGATGCCCCGTGACCGCAAGTGGAGCTATGTTGTACACTCAGTGAGCTCCCTTCCCAACTCACGCCTTAACGGGAGGAATCCGCCTGGAAACGCGGCTGGGCCGCTCGGGTTTCGCGGGCCGGGTCCCTTCGGCTGTGGGACTGAATTGCCGAGCGGGGCGCTGAGGGTGTGTGGTGAGGGAGCAGGGCACGCCAGCCCTCGCTGAAGGCCACATCCTCCACAAAGGCTCCCGCACACCGAGCCCGGTTCCTGTCCCGGCCCCAGGGCAGAGGTGGCTCGGAGGCGGCGGAGCCTGAGTCTCCTGCAGCCCAGCGCGACTCCCTGCCCGGACATCGGCGATGCCGGCGCTCTGCCCGCTCGCAGGGCCGGGGCCGGGCCGCTCCCGCCCCGCCTGCCGGGAGCGCGGCTGCGCCGGCCCGCCCGGTCATGTGAGGGGCGGTGCATCCCGGTGGGAGCGGGAGGTGGGATGGCGGCGATTGCTGGCGCTGGTGACCGGGCTGGAGCCGAGCTGCCGGACGCCTGCCCCGGCGCGGACAGCGGGAACGTGTCCCAGAGCCAAAGCAGAGCCTCCGGCCTCGGGGAGGCGGAGGACGAAGATGCCTCGGAGGCGTCGCTCAGCGCCACCGCCGCCGCCTACTCCGCGTACCTGCTCGCCGACCGCAGCCTCTTCAGCGAGCAGGTGGGCGAGGGACCGGGCCGGGGGTCCCGCACAGCTCCCGGGCACAGGGAAGGGGTGCCAGGGGTGCCATGGGAGCGCAGCCCCCTGGAGCTGGACACGCTCCTGGGCTGGGGCTGGGCAGGACAGGACCTGCCGGGGGTCGCGTCCCTTGCGCCGAACGGAGCCGAGAGAGGGAAAAGCCTGTGGGATTTCTATGGGACTGGCTGTAGTGTGACCGCTGTCTTGTTTGTGAGTACTCGGTGGTCTTGTTTGTGAGGCTGGCCGGGGCTTTGTGAATGTGTGTGTGTGTTTTCAAGCACTTTAAGTGACCTCTGTTTTGCAGATAGAAAGCTTAGACAAGAGTCTAGAAGACTTACTGACCAGGGTGGATGAATTCGTAGGAATGCTGGATATGGTATGTATAACTTGGATGTGGTTATATTTTCAAAGTCAGATTAAACACAGTTTAATTGGTGTTTGTAAGTAAGACACAGACAGAAAGAAGCTTTTAGTCTAGGCATGTTCCAGTATGAAAACACGTTTGATAATTAGATGACTTATTTTGGTAATCAGGTAACTCATGGATGAAAACTACCAAGCTTTCATGTCAGAGCAAAATGTGTCCATATAGCTATAGAATCATATAGAACTTAGGTTGGAAAAGACCTCTAAAATCATCAAATCCAACCATTAACCCAGCATTGCCATGTTCATCCCTAAACCATGTCCCAAAGTGCCACATCTTCTAAATACCTTCACCACTTCCCTGGGCAGCCTGCTTAAATGCTGGACAACCCTGTCAGTGATTAAATATTTTCTAACTGCATATTTGTGTAGCTGTATTTGTATTCTTGTTTAAAAGAACAGTTTGACATTCTGCTTATTTTTGAAAATACATAAAGACATCCTTTGTTGGTTTTATAATGGAAGTATCTAATCTGAGTTGCCAAACCACCAAAGCTAGATTTGTCTTTAGGGGACCCTCTTTTCAGAAAGGCAGCTTTGTTTTCAGTTTTCTCATAGGATTACATGAGGGAACTGAATGGAAAGTTTCTGTAAGCTGCACTAGTAGGTAGGCTGTCTTTTAAAGTGTAGCACATATGGTTCTCCTGCACGACTCTGTTGTAGGTTTGGGGTTTTTTTTTAATACCAGTAAACTAAGATTTTTGTGGCCTGACTTTTTTAACAAACCTGAGGAAAAGTACAGGTAGTAAAACTTAAGACAAAAGTTTCGCTTAATAGACTTAATTATTTAGTGTGTCTTAGAAAATGTTATATATCACTTCAGAAGAGATTGTATTAGCCTACTTTTAATATAAGTATAAATGTAAATATTAGTCTCTGCAAAATACACGTACTTCAAAGTTACTTAGAAACTGTACAAAAAAGCTATAGTGTATTGATTTTAATCTAGTGTTTTTATACTAATTTATTCAGGTATTTTTAAACTCTAAATTTTAGGCTGTTCATTGGAGCACAGTTCTAGTTTTCAGAATAAAATCTACTAAACATTTTGTTTCATTCATTGATTTTTGTATTATTTCTTTGCATTGTCTTTAGATTCGAAGTGATTCCTCTCAAGTTGTCAATGAAAGTATACCTCAAATATACACAAAAGCTACAGAAATGAGGCAGATATATAGGAAGATTGACAAACTAGAGGTATGTATTTGCTGTCTTCTAGATGCATTTTGTTTCCTAACAGAGGAAAACATCAGTGTCTGCATATTTGTGTGTGTATATGCACACATGTGGAGTGAACTCAGGTGGGTTGTGCTCTCCATGTCCATTCTGGGTTCAGTACTTCAGGGTTAATAAAGAGGACTACATTTATGAAGAATTTCTGGGGACTGTGGGAATTCTAGACGTGTTTTAGATCTTTTTGTAGCATATTTTAAAAAAATAAATTGTTCGTTGCCTGTTTGAAGCAAGGCAGTTTTTTGTGTTAGCTTTCAAAGTTTCAGAAACAAATAGAATGAGAGATCTCTTGATCCCTAATAAAGCTTCAAAACTGTGCTTCAGATCCTTGGTTTTTCTTTTGGTAGTAGAAAGGCAGGTAGAAGTCTAGATTTTGAAAAATCCAAGTTAGTTATTTGAAAGGTAAGTTGGAAAAGGAAGATTATTTTATTGTATTTAACCTGATTTTAAGCCTTTTAAGTATCTCAAGTAATCTCTAGCATTAAAATGGACTTGTAGGCAGAAAGGAAATTGAGCATGAAATTTTTGACTCCTTTAAGCAATGGATCTTTCACCACTGTTTTGCAATACTGTTTAATAGTCCTGTTTTATTTTGTTGGGGAAAGTGTCATATTTATTTTGAGGTTTTTTTTTTACACCAGGCTTTTGTGAAAATGATTGGGAATAGCGTAGCTGGACTGGAAGAACGGGTCATAAAGGCAGAAACAGACCTTGGAGCTTTTCCAAGCACGTTCAAGAAGATCTTGCACACAATCAGCATGCCATCCTTCCTTAATGTAAGTAAAGTTTTGCTTCCATGTGACCAGCTTAGTTGCTCTGCTTACTAGACCAGATGGTTAAAATAATAATAAGTTTGCTGCACATGTGTATCAATGTAGCTGTACACTTTTAATATACTTTATTAGGTTTTTTACAGGGTTCTCAGACTTCTTTAAAAAAAAAAGAAAAAAAACAAACTTAAAAATTTGATTTCTTATAAGGATTTGTGTAACATTGCAAAACAGGGCCAAGCACACAAAGAAATGAATGTGAAGGACACAAACAAGCACATAATGCACAAGGATTTATACTAAAGCACCCCTGATCTCTGGTGGTATGCAAAGCAAGTAGGAAGAGCCTGTACAGGCAACACTGCTAAAGGATCCTTCTGCATTGATAGCATCCCCACACAAATGTTACCAAAAAAGAAAATTAAAGCTAATCTGCACAGTATTTTTTAAATAAAGATTATATTTGTATTCAGTCCACACAGTTGGATAATCATGTTTCCACCTGGGTGAGCTTTCTAAGGGTGCAGTTTTCTCCATCTTTCCTTGTGGACTGTTCTTTTACAAAAGGCTTGAAGCACCCTCTCTGGTATATTTCAGAGATGCCTTACCTAACACCAAACTGCCATTGTGCCTGGGGTTCAAAATAATCTTTTGGTTAAAAAAAAAAAAATCACCTGAATTCCTGATGCTTCTTGACATCACCTAGTAGTACACCATTTGTAAGTTCTACTCTTTTGCATCTTGTCAACTCAAAGATTGTTTTATCTTTTAGTATGTTCATTCTGTACTAACTCAGTTTTCTGTGTTCTGGTAAGAATGATGAAAAAATAGCTTTATAGAAGGGGAGAGGAAGAAGGCTTTTTGAGGTATTTTTGTTCCTACATCTTCCAAGCATATATGGCAACAGAGAAAAATACATATAAAAAGAACATGTGTTGTCTTGTTAAGGCTCAGTTCAAGGTACTTGTTCTTCACTGCTGTTTACTGTGCAGTCTTTAAGTTAGTTAATTTCTCATCTCATTCCTTCATTTTCCTTGGTGTCTAAGTTTAGAGTTCTGTCATTTTTTTTCTTTTAAAAAAACCCTAAAAACAACAACACAAAGTTGCACTTTATGGACCAATTACAAAACAAAGAACCTGCACAAGTTGCTTTGAAGAATATTCAACAGTATTTTCCATTTTTTTTTCTATGAACAGTTATTAACCATGTAATTACAGTCTTCACTTGAAAAGTTTGCAAATTCAAAGAAAGTTTTGCTAGTTCAAAGTTTTTTAGTGTTGTATGGGAACACTTTGTCAAATTAGCACTTTTTCCACAATTTAAAAGGTAGAAAATCTTTGAAAGTGTCAGGAGGGGGAACCTGGCATCTCCAGTGGTTTCTTAGTTTGATTATGGGTAGCAATAAAATAACACTCAGAACTTACTGGCATTATTTGATTCACTAAAAGGCAGGCTACTGTTCCTCAATGGTTCTGGGTACTGCATAGTAAAATACCTATTTCCAGTAGTAAACACAAGCAAGTGTGAATGAAAATGCCTATAGAGATTTCTCCAGTTGCTTGATATTTAACTGGCTCAATACATCAGTGGTAAAATACAGGTTTGGAAAAGAAGGTTATTCTGATGTCATGATTTTCACTGTAGCTGTAGTTCACATTTTACTGCTAGTTTTAATTTACTCAGGTACCCTCATTCTCTTCCCATTTAAATGTATTTGGTTTTTTACACAAAGGCTGTATTTTCTCTTTCTCAAGATGTGTGTCTATAATCTCCCTTTCAGATTTTGCCCAAAGTTCTTCCCTTGTGAATACCAGTCAGTGCAAAGAACAGTACTATAAGGTTTCTAATATCACTAAGAAAATGTAGACTCTCAAAAGGTAAAAACATCTGCTAAGCAGCTGCAAAAATAAGTGATCATAAATGTGTGCTTAGGCAGTTGTGGCTACTGTGCCTGCCTACAAATTTCCTCACTGGATTGAAATTGCCCTCTTCTTGCACAGAGGCAAATACAGCACCTTAAATCCATGTCAGGAGTTACAGAAAACCTGTAACTTTGCTTGCAGGTTGTTATCTGATAGGACAGTACAGGGTAGGAAATTATTTTAAAAATCAGAACTTTGATTTTGAAGGGGTCTTTTACATTTGGCAAATTTTGTGATATGGACAACACTGATAATATACAGTGTTTATAGATCAGATCTTTGTTTATATTTTTTAATTTCATTGGAACTTGAATGGCAAAACAAACTTAGAGAAATTAATGGTATTGTAAAATTAAAGACATAATTTAATATATCAGCAATTTTGTATATAGCAGGAGAACATGTACTTGCTTCATATGGAGTACAAGTATACAGCTCAACTGATACTGAGAAATTTCCACTTTGTTTTGTAGGTATGGTTACTTACATCTTCATTTTGAGGGTGTAAGACCGTTCTAAACTCCAAGACTATCAAACAATGATATTTAGTGTACTTTTAACTTTTATTATTGGTGAAGGCTAATTTCCTCATTCCAGACTGACAGGGCTCTACCAAATAGTTCATCAAAATCTTTTTATTAGTTGAAAAGGACTTTTAATGAGTGAATTCTTGATTTCAAGCATTCTATTTAATGTCAGGCATTGAAAACATACCCTGTGTCTGTGCTGTGTTGCAGCATTATGCACACATAGCAAGGCTGACACAGTAGTCACTTGTGGTCCTTGATTGTGTCTCTTTCAATGAGCCATTCGATACAGCAAAACATTGTACACTTAATATTTAAAAGAAACATGTACCCCTTCCCTGAAAAACAGTGTAACAGCTCTTTTCTGGTCCACTACCAGATTATTTTTAACATTGTGTCATATGAAGAAGCTCAGAAGGAGCAGCAACTTTCTTGAAAGAATAATTTGCTAGGTGTGTTCCCATAGGAAGACTTTTTGAGTAACTAAATGAGAACCTAGGCCCAGAGTTGACTCAAAAGAAGCGGCTGAGGAGAATGAGAAGGCTGGAACAGAAAAGGTAAAGGTGTATGGCTTGGAAAGGATGGAGGTTACAATGACTCTCCCATCAGCTGGATGGTACAGTTTGGCTCCTGCAGTTCTGGCATATTGTATGTGTTCCAGGACTGGGTCCTGTTTAGGAGCTGGAATGGCAAAGGTCAATGGTTGTGTCTCTTCATTAACATTAGGAACATGCAGGACTATCTGAGCTATGATTAAGAATTCATTCAACTAAGGAGATACGCCTTAAAACTTTTCTTCTGTATTTTAGCTCTGCAGGCTTTGTTTTAGAATGCTTTATGAAAAAAGTGAAAAATAAACTTCTCTAATTTGCAGAAATCGTCTTCCTCACGACAGCAGCAGACCCTCTATGAACCTCCAGTTCTCTTCAAGACTGAAGACTATTTTCCATGTCTTAATGAAGCACCTTATTGATAATTTTTGCTTTGGGATTGATATGAATCAGCCAGAATAGAGAGAGCCAAGTGAACAAAAGGAATGCCAACCTCAGAACAGCTGCATTTTCTAAGCACTATTGATGGCATATTGCCATTCTTATCCTCATTGTCTTCCTTCAGGCAATATTTTCAGGTAATCTTTCTTTGTGCACATAATTTCAAAAGCCTTCCTAAAACACCATGTAAATTTTCAGATTATTTTAGGGAAGGAATTTAAGAATATTTTTGCATTACATTTTTTTAAATATGGAAATAATAGGAAACATGCTATTGTATATAAGTTTTTTAACACGTAAATGTCTGTGCTGCTGCAAGTGTAAAATAGCTATACCACAACGATGAGGGTTTATTTGTCCTTTTTCATAATGTGCTGATTGAGGTGAAAGAAAAACTATGCATAAGGTTTCACATCTATTCCAAGGTTTTAAGCCTGGTCCCTGCAGTTTGTACAGAGAAATGCACCACATTGGGGTGTACTTGTTGCAGGGGCAGGACATAGAAGATCACCAAGGAATCAAGGGCATGGCTCAATCTATGTGGTGTAGTCCCAGTTCACAAAGCAAACATCCTGCTCCTGATGATCCTCAGGTCACAGTGAACCAAGCTTTTCATTATTGCATCATTGTGTTGTTTGATGTGTAACCAGGTGGGCATTAAATAAATTTGTGTATATATATAGAGAGAGAGATATATATAGATGTATCAAACCTGCTGTCAAAAAGAACAAGTATCTAAGCTGGAGAGGGATGACCCTGGACTGAACCTCAATCAGGCACCTGACCAGATTGCTTTTCCTTCACAACTCTCTGTGGATACTGAGGCTTCCCATGCTTATTGCAATTTATATTATCAATAAACTAATAGCTGGCTAACCCCTGTTGTGGTCTTGCATTTCACCAGACAGTATTTACCCACCTAACAGATGTTAATTATAAATTGATGTATTCCTCTGAAAAAGTTTTACCTCTGCTGCTCTGTTGCCCATGTAGCTCACTAGAATACTCAAAATTGAAGTCTGGGAGGAATGCTTTAGAGAAACTATTTCTCTATGTTGCATGCACAAAACAGGTATGAAGTTGCAGAGATTATATATTAATAGATCCTGTCTCCAAAGACCAGCAGAGATTGAGTTCTAAACATCTTCAGTATCTGAAGCAGCATTTATTAAAATATAAAACAAAGATTTTCAAGTCAAAGTTGGTTGGCTCCAAAAGTAGTTCTGATGTAAAGCTTACCTGAATTTTAACATAGGAAAATAATCACATAAACATGCAGAAAGAAACAGACATGACTTTGAAGCAGGGCTCCCCTCCCATCATCCTTGTTTTCATAAATAATCCATTATTCAGATGTTCCACTAGAGCAACAGTTGCATTTCTAAAAGGTGTGGTGCCTTTCAGTGTATGCATAAATAATGCTTGAAGTTTATCGCTCCTCAGTGAGGTCTAATAAAATAACACAGTGTAGCAACAGAAGGCTACAGTCAAGTACTCTTAAACATACTAACACTGGTATTAAAAAAAGTTATCTTTAGAGTAACTTTGTAATTAAATTATTCACCTTCTCAAATAACATTGCCCTCTGCTGTGGGGAGCCAAAATGCAGTTCCCTTTAAACAGATGATGTTTGAAATATTAATAAAGTTTCCAGCAAGTTTATACAGCTGAATATTTTCACACAATACTGTTCATATTAATAAGAGTCAAAGTTCATATATCCTGAAGTGGGCATTTTTGTTGAACTGTTTTATATTAAAAAAAAATAGCTGTATCTTTAAGGCACACCACAAACAAAAATCAGACTGTTCCTATAATTAGTATAGTTCTATGCTGGAAATTCTCCAAAATATTTTTATTACTGAAAATGATGGGCAATACATGGAAAATTTGTTAAGGAAATGCTATAAAAGACAATAAATAAATTGTGGCTTTTAAAAATACATGGTACAAAATACCAAGGTCACTGTTCATCTGTTATGAGATTAAGCTCATGATTATGAAATTAAGGCATTCTCATCATACTGACAAAATGCACTCTGCTGTTGGTTTGTTTCCATCTTGGCTGACTCCTTATTTGTGGTCAGTCTCACCTTACAAGAACAGTGTAAAAAACATCTCAAGTGTTCACTCAGTAAAGAAATAGAATATTTCTTTATTCTGTCTGCTGTTACCTTGTATTACTGTAAAACCAGTAATGACTATATTGTGAATTCGGTTCAATGTTTATTGGGTTTGCCAGCTGTAAACAAAACCTGAATCTCAAAATCCACTGATACCAACATTCACAGTCCCAGAAGGCTCTGCTTGCATCTCTCCCTACACCATGTTTTCCTCTTGCCTGAGTTCCAAGACACAAGCCAGTAACTATGGGGCTACATCACCTGTTTTTAACAGGAGAACTCTTCATATAGAACTGGTATAAATCAAGATGTGGTTGTGTTGTGCAGCTATAGGTTGGGTACCAGGCACATGAAATGAGCTAATGTTTAATATCAACAAAGGAGTCTAGATACACATCTTACTTTTCCTCTATGTCATTAAGCAAACATTTTAAAGCAATCCTAGCAAAAGTAATGCTAAAAGTTTTTATATTCCTATAGTTATGCACATTTTAGGCCAATGTTAATTAGCATTAGCCTAGTGCTAATTGAAACTAATGCAGCTTTCTAAAAATCGTCTGTTTGCTGTACAATGTATGTCAATATGTCACAGAAGCTGCATTCGCAAGATATTCACAGTGAGTTTATATCATAGTCAGGTTGGACTAATGTTAGAGCCCTACACTTTTCATAGCTCTTGGACAAAAATCAGCATTATCTGTCTTACATAGATATTTAATTATATGATAAACTGTGCCTGAAGTCGGCACATAAAGTTTGATATTTGTATTTAATTATTTTTGGACCAGCAGATTTTGGTCCAATCAAGCAGTGCTGCAACTGCAGTAAAGCCCAAAGAAATTAGAGAAGGATGCAGATGACTGAAATGAAAACAAACAGGTTTGATTATTTATCTGATAAAATAAGATAAATTACTTAAAGATGCACTGCATTGCATTGACATAAAAACCTGTGGCATTTCATTACTTCTGCTGACAATAACCTTCAGGGTTAAGTAGCTTTACCTACAACACTAATAATTAAGTAGCAAGCTAAAGCTGTGAAGAGTGATCCTCAGTGAAAGACCTAGCAGAATGAGAAGGAAGAGGAAGATAGCTTGCACCTTCATCTGTGAAAAGAACTTTATATTTGGAATTGGTAAATAACGCTCCCTTTAAAAAAAAAAAAAAAGGAAAATGTTTTTTAAGCGATTACTTTTTAAACTACCTCATTTTTCATAGAAAAGAAATTTGTCTTGGACCAGCTACCAAGAAAATCCTTGAAAAGCCAAAATCCCTGTCAGATACAGCTATGGTCAAAGAGGAGCATAACAGAAATGGGTATCTTTCTAGGCACTGCAGCTAAATCCATCAGGATGAGGAGTTTCCAGCTGCTGGGATTCCCATCCCTGTAGGAGCTGAGCTGCGGCTTTGTCAGCTCAGGCAGAGGCTTTGTGTGGCAGAGCAGAGGCTTTGTCCACTCAGCTGCTGTTGTTGATTCTGCTTCAAGCCGATGGGTGGTAGTACAACCTCAAGATGGTAGTACAGACTCCAGCTGATCTCAGGGATTTGGGGAGTTTTCTTGACTTTCTTGCTTGATGTTATCTACTCACAAACTTTCAATGCTGGTCAGTTTTTGTGATTTTGAAAAACTGTAAGGGGTATGTGAATGGTGCACGATGTCTTAAAAGTACTAAGAAACAAGCAAAACAGAAAAAAGGGTTCAGAAGGTGTTGCTCATACAGTACAATGCCAGGGAGACAGAATGCAACCACCTATAGATACAGACTGTGAAAAGGAAAAATTGAAATAATGTCTTTGGAATTATGTCAGACTAGAGGATATGGTAGGGAAACCAAAATATCCTGACTAAAACTCACATGGAAGACTCAAAATGGTATTTCATGTTTGCCAGCTTTAATATTGCCTGTAGATTCTTTAGTGGATTATTAAAGTGATAAAAATACGTTAAAATTGCATTAATAATCATTCCAATGTGCTATCTATATAAGATCTTAAATAGTATATTTTAAAAGTATATTGAAAATACAGATATATAAATGTGCTGACAGACCTAAGAAAGTGAACTGAATGTTAGCAAGGATTTCATCAGAGGGTTCATAGTGAAAAGACAAAGGGACAGAATTCATGGGGGGAAAGTGCACTCACTGAGAAAAGAAGGATAAATATCCAATTCAATTTGTCATCTCCCACTGTTTCAGAAGCTCTAGGTTTCATGAGAATAGCTCAATGCCTACATTATTTAAAAATAAATTAATTGCCATCTGTTCCTTACAGGTGACACGGTCAGGAGTTTCTTTACAAACAAAGCAACCTTTAAGAAAAAACAAAAGCAGAAATTTCCACAATCCTAGGACATTAAAACTGAGGGCTGGCACTAAATATTACACAAGCACCTGAGAACTGCAGACTGGCAATAAAGCTGTTTCTGATTGATTCATAAAAATGAAATTACAAAAGAGGAAAAATGAATGGTAAGAGCCCTATGCAGGAATGGAAGAGGCAGAAAACAGCATAGCCAGTAGATAAACCAGGGCATGTGCCAAGGTGTGAAATTGTGATGACAGAGCTGTGAGCAGCATCAACAGATGAGGGCAAGATCCCTGAACTGGGAGGTAAGAATGGAGATCCGCAACAGACATGATGTATATATGTGATGTTATTTTTTCACAGTTTAGGAGCTTTTTTTTCCCCTCCAGTGTGCACTTTTCCCAAGTACATATTTTTAGGAGGGGCTATAACTGTGGACCGGCTCTAGTGTGTTTGTCTGGACCAGGCTGCTGTTACTGCCTCTGATTACTGCCTCTTTCTCAAAAGAAGTAGGACTTGCAGGTCATTGGACTGTTCTGGCTAAAAATCAGTCCTGCCAAGCCAAACAGTCCAGCCCCAGCACTCATGTCTTAGTACAAAGGTGAGGGGTGGCTCTCCTCTACTCCCAGCCATCCCCCTGAGAAGGCAAGCAAAGCACTTACCCTGGCAGTGTGTCCCCATGTACAGCTGGGGAGATGCCTGCTGTGGAATTAACGTCTGTTTCCTTCATGTGTCTTTGATTAGCCCTTTTCTCTACAGGGAAGGCCTTGCAATTTGTATGGAAACACAGAGGGAAAGAAGAACAGGAAAGAAATAAGGTATTGGGAATAACCTTCTTGTTGTCATTACAGAGATGTCTGTGTGTCCTGCTCAGATGCCTGCTTCCAGCAATATTTTTTCAATTAAAATGTGATGGTTCATCTGCTAGTGATACACAGCACCCTTATTCTTGGTGTCACACTTTTGTGGAAGTGTGCTTGTTGCATCTAAAATACAGTGTATTATTAAGCAAAAAATATTTGGGAGGAAAAATACTAAACAACATAATTGAACAAAAATTGTATTTTCTTTCTGGATTTATTAGCTTGACTTCTGAATTTAATTGTGTTTCTGTAATTGAAGGACAACACAAAGCAGTAATGACAGAGGAATCTTGCCTAAGGAAAATCAAGTATGATACTGTTAGCTAACAAGATAGATGAGCAGTGCCATTGCAAACTCATTACATGTATCTGAGATAAGTCAAGATTCTGCTAAGTGAGTTGGATGAAATTGTGAGGACAGACTCAATAACAGAAAGAGGTCAGCAAAAGCAAGGTTATAGCAGATACCAGTGCCCATCTTGAATAGCATTTTGTCTCTCATTAGTTTGCACTATGGGACTGCCTCTGGGTGTAAAATGGATTCTTTTGGGACTAATACAGCCAGAGACTTGCTCAGGAATTTAGCTGACTTGCTGCAACTGCTGTTGGGTATTCATTCCATGCTGCTGGCCATGCACTAGTTTTAGGCCAAGATGAAACTCAATGAAACATTAAGCTACAAATCAACCTGAACTACTGTGCTGAAATACTTGCTAGCTCAGTCACAGCCCCAGGGTGGCAAATGCCACTCTGCAGGAGTAAAAAGACTGAACCAAAGCTCTGGGATGAATGCAGATGTGATGGTGCTTGAATATGGATATTGTGGGGATTGTGAAAAGGCTGATGTAAATGTCAGGTAAGAAAGCTGCTGGAGAGGAAATGATGGAGAGGTAGACATAGACCTTCTAGCTGGAGTAAGTTCAGTTCAGGTCCACAAAGACAATTAAGGGACTGGAACATCTCCTGTGAGGAGTGTCTGAGAGAACTCTGATGGTTCATCCTGAAGAAGACTCAGGGGTGATCTCATTAATTTGTATAAATACCTGAAGGCAGGGAGTGGAGGAGAGGGAGAGAAGCAATTCTCAGCAGTGCCCACTGCTAGGACAAGAGGCAGTGTGCACAAAAATAAAATCTCCTTGCCAAAGCACCTTCTCTGTTGCATCCCACATTAATATTTTTGAACCCTGTTCCCACAAGCTTCTTTTAATATCCTCTAATTCTTGTATTGGAGGACACAATCAACAGTCATGAGCCATCTGTGTTGCTCATCCTCTCATAGTAATGTCTGTTATTTCCTTTTCCATGATTTCTTCCGTTGGCTGAGGAATCACAGAATGGCCTGGATTTGAAGGGACCTTAAAGAGCATCTGGTTCCACTCCTCACCATGGGCAGGGATACTTTCCTCAGGAACAGATTGCTTAAAGCCCTGTTATTTTGTGTATGAAGCTTCCATGTCCTTGCTGCCTTTTTCTGATCCTTTCCCACTAATCTGTGTCCTATCTGAGATCAGAAAAGTAGGACTACCCATGTAATTTAGGGCAGAAGCAAATCAGAGGTTTAAACAGTACTACAATCTGCCTTTTTCTTGTTTCTTCTCTACTTATTTCCCTATGTCAGATGTGCTTTCTTATCTTGTTCTGAATGTTTAAACTGATGGTTTCCAGGACCTATCAGAGTTGTGTGATCTCATTTATGAGTAACTACTCAAATTTACTTTCTGACTCATGTGGTTCATGTACAAGGATATTTTAATGTAATAGCTAAATCTGTGTCTGTTAAACAGGAGCTACTTCCAATCAGTAGGATGAGGTTTTGCTAAAACAGAGGTTATGTGGATCAGGTATAAAAAGTATTAGATTGTGGGGCAATGCACAAGAAGGCAAAATAGAGGTGCTGCATTGGTCAGTGTGTTTCTGTGGATACACCACTACTGAAGGTCAGCAACTGGCCTAGTTGTCTGACCCTTTTGTGTATTTGTGCTCACCTGGACTGTCATTTACCTTTTCTTATCACAGCTACAGAGCAGTAGTCCTGGTAAAATAGTGTTTAAACTCAACCTGAGGTGCTGTGCTGAAGCAGAGAGTCCATGAAACATGCTCCAGATACTATTCAGCTCACTGAAGCCTTGAAGGAGAGAAGTAACACTTTGAGGAAATGACAGAAACTCTCTTTCTTTTCAGTGCTCCCAAATCCTTTTTTGTGTCAAGTCTGTCCAGTGTGCCTTCTTCTCCCTCTCTTTCCTTTAACTCCTCTGTATCCTGAGACTGAGCTGCCTCTTACAGAGCCCCTTTTCTCCCTGGTAGGGTGGAGGGGAAGCACTCTGAGCACCTGGACGGGGGGGACGTGGGATTTCCTATGGAGGTTCCTGCTTTGAGCTAGTTGAGAGCAACCATGCTGATTCTTTTGTGAAGTGAGAACCTCTGTAGATCAAGATTTGTTGAGGAGCATCCCAAGTCCAAAGCAGGCATTTCAGTGCCCTGCTCTAGTGAGATCAGTGTACTGTTACTCTCAGACATTTGGATGATCCTTGAGGATCTCAGCTGGGCCTCTTGAGAGAGCAGCAATGCTTGTGTTACACTCCTTTGGGCAACAATACTCACACATTTAGTTCCCCAAACCTTTGCTTGGAACCCAGCCCTTGAGACTGTTGTTGGTTCCAACCCCTACTGTGGCAGGGGGATTGGAACTAGGTGATCTTTAAGGTCCCTTCCAACCCAAACCATTTTGTAATTCTATGATGATGATTAATCATGCGCTACTTTTATCTCACAGTGTGTAGGAAGAAGTTGAAGTGAGTGACTATTCTGCAATCACAGTCTGCTGTTTTCTGTGTAAGAGTTTTGTGGATGTGGCCATCTGATAACACCACAGTGCTTAGAAAAGAGTGCTAGCCTTACTTTTGCACTCTTCCTCTTTCCAGCTCAGTTAGTTTCATTTTCTTCAGCAACTGAGCATTATGGTCAAACTAAAAAGCTGTATCTTGTCTTGCAAGAAAAATTAACATCTCCAACTATGTTCAGGTTGACTTTTTTTGGTCTGCTGCACAAGATGGCTTAATTCACAGGTGAAATGGCAATACCAATATAGAGCCCAGAAGCAAAGCCGGGCATAAGTGCAAGAGAAGAATATTATCAAATATTCTACCATCATTTTTTTGCTCCATTTCCCTTTTGTATTTCTAAAAATCAGCAGCTTTCTTGTTGCCTGATAGCTTTGTGCATAATTTTTCAGTTTACTCGTGGTTCTTGTAACTATACATGATGTTATTCCTATGTGATGTTTTTATAGTCATATAAATACTGTTGGGCCTTAGTGTTGCTTGTTAAGGATGTCTGGGGAAAACAGATTTATTATATTTAGAATTTCTCCCAAACTTTTTGTCTGCATGGTTTTGACTTGTGGAGAAACTGCTCAGTGTTGTATTTAAAAGCAAAATGGGATGCATCCACACCTTCCTGGCAGGGTCTGCGTGTGACAGTGTTGTCAAATGTCTGTCCCAGTCTGTGTGGACACCTAATTGTACCTGATAGATGCCAACTATGAATGGATAATGACTCAAAACATTGATGATGACAGGCATTTGTATCAACTGGACCCATCAGAGCATGCACATGTGGGAAGGTTCATCTCAGGCTTCCTTATATGTGTCTGAACCTGCCTGCCAGCAGTTGGGGATCTGCACAAGCAGCAGCTGGCTGGCTGCTACTTCCTCACTTGCACTGCTGCTGGAGCAGAAATGTGCAGGCTGAAATCCATGATGCTACTGGGGCCCTTGCAACAGGCACACGGCTGCTGTGGAGCCCTGCTTAGGGGGGTGCCCTTGCCAGACGGAATGGGGTAGGCAGACCTCTGGGAACACAACAGGTAATGTGGGATCTGCCTGGGGCTCCTTGCTCTATCAAAAAGACATCTGTTTAATCCTGAGTTTCTACAGATTTAGCCATATATGGTTGGCTGGTGGAGTGTCCTGGAGGAATATCGAAGGCTGTCAGCACATGGCTGTGAAGACCAAGCTGGATGAGAAAGCAGGCAGCAGCAGCACAGTCCCAGCTGAGCCCAGAAATCCACACTGCCACTTCCAGCACTGGCCTTGCCAGGTCTACAGTCTTGGGGCAGCCTGTGGGGCACCACAGGAGTGTCTGTGGCTACCCAGGGCTGGTCACAATGCAAGCAGCAGGTCACATGGGGCACAGAAGAAAGAAAAAGTGTTGCAGGAAGCTTCCAGAAGAGACAGGAAAGCAAAGAAGGGAAGTATCTGGAGGCACCAGAGGAGGTTATGAGACTGTGTACGTTAGGGTTAGTCACATCAAGGTAAAGAGAAGTGGCTGATATAGGCAGGTGAAATGGATTTGCTTTGTTAGGAGACAAGGGAAGATAGAATAAAATGAGGAATGTTTTGTCATCTGAATGGCCCAGTCAGTCTGACACCAAAATTTTAGCCACGGATTTTCAGGATGCAGATGAAATTGCTGTACTGCAGATGAGTTATCACTAACTTCCTGATTGTAATGATTCATACATATTTCAAATTCATTTTTCCTTCTCATGTGCTCTGTAGCCTATTTCCAGAAAGAATATTTATTACACCAGTTTACTAGGTAAGTGTTATTTTTCTTAGCCAGCTCTTTCTGTTCTGCTTTCCTTTTAACAGGAAGATGAAACAATTAAAAATTAGTCAGTCCACATTGTACCTTTTTTGCTCCTTTTCCAGAAAATTCAGTAGATATGGCCATACGAGGCAGAATACTGAACTCCTCTGACTGCACAGGGCATTTCTGTAGCTGTAATGTAGTTTCCTATGTCCACTATTAGATAATACCCATGTCATCCTAATATTTCCTCTGTGTAAAGGAATCATGATTTGGAGGTCCTTTGGCACATCATAAAGTAAATGGAAAATCCTGTTTGTTCACATTCACATTTGTTTGATACTGCCTGAAACTGGTAAAAGGATATTAATGGCTTACACTTGAAAATTATTTCTAGCAGTGGCTTTTATTTAATCATTCCTATTATTTTCAAAGGCTTGTTTGCATTCTTAATTATTAGTGTACATACCTCCTCTAAATTTCCATCTGATAATATTCTTCAGTAATATTCTTTAGTGTGGAACTTTCAGATGATGTTAAAGTAATAAAAGAGCCCAGCTCCCTCCTTCCTCTTTGCTTTTATATGTCTCGGCTTACACTGCTTTCCTGTCTTTGATGAGTCATTGCATTTACTTTGTACTGATGCTTTTACATTCAGGCTGGAGCATTGATTTTGGTTTCCTTGTTTTCTGATCAGAAGAAGCACAATTTTTTTCCCGTGCAGATATCACTGAATTTTTATCAGATCAGACAAACCCTCGTTTCTATGATTTCACAGGATATGGTATGCAGGTGTATCTGGTAACTTTTGAAAATGCTTAGTGCTGTTTCCTACTAGTAGTCCAGGTCCTGAAGTGATGTTGCTTTATAATTCAGCTGAATATTATAAAGATCTAAAACATAAACAATATAAAATAAAGCAATCAAGTATGAGAATATAAATGAACATTTCAAATACCAGAGACTTCCAACTATACAAATATTAAATCCCTTTTATTCCTTATCACGGCCATAGGGTGGCACTGGCTATTGCTGAGCATTTATGTATGTCCTAGGAGTAGCCCAGTATTTTAAGTTTAGCAGATCATTTTCAGAGACTAGGGATCTGGTTCATTCAGACTGATCACTGGTTTGATCACTCCTGCAGTCAAGTAAAACAGCAGCTTTTTCCTGATGGGGCTCTGATAGCCCAACTCCAGCTCTCCACCCTCCTCTTCATCCAACTACTGCCACTTGCAGCAGAGAGACTGGGAAGAGATTTCCTTCTGCACCTTCTTTGACTTCCTTCTCTGTTCTGCTGCCTGCCTTGCTGCCAGCAAAGGAAAATATCAGGCAGCTGTGAAAATTAATGTGGTCTCACACCCTGCGGTTTCCTCTTCTGGGTGGTGCTCAGTTGTCCTCATGCCTCTTCTCTGTGAACCCATCAGCTGTTGGTGACACTCCCTCAACCTGTGTTTCAGCCCTGCCAGTGGAACCACCACAGGAGGAGCAGTGTGTTGGTGAAGGGATGTTGGCTTTCCCCACCTGCTGCTGCTACTTGCATAAGAAGGAAAACACCCAACCCTTGCATCTTTTTTTTTTCTTTACTTACTGTAGAGCCAAACCTAGAGGTAGACAAAGGATTATTAAATCCTGATGAGCCAGCAGACTTGGCACAAAACCAAGAAAAACCTTGAAATATTGAAAGGCATTGTAAAAAATTGGGAAGCATTAACCTCAGATGATTTTTGTGATGATGAGAAGATGAAAGTTGGAAACACGTAACTGAATTACTGTTTGTAGATATGCAGCACTTCTGAAGTTAAATCAAAGTATCATGTTCACTGTAGTTAAAGTAGTTAATATTTGCCAGATTAGCTTGAGGCATTTCGATGTAGCGTGTAGATAACAGTGGCACAGCGTGCTTACACAGATGAAATGAGACATACTCACATCCAATGCTTTTCACAGAAACACACCATCAGCACAGCTCCTCTTTAACCTGCAAAATCTTATTTTACTAATACCTTCTACAGATTATGTTGTAACAGTGCAGGAAGTGATTCATTTTAGACATACAAATGTAGTTATACTTCAAAGTGCTTTATCACTTTTCTGTTTCAACTTTACGTACAGCAAGTGGGTAAAACTTCAACAGCATTTAGCTGTATGAATTAGCCCCATGGGCTATGCCCACTGTGGTAGCAGATCTATTTGTCAGCAGAATTTCTTCTCACAGCCTACTCTTATCAGAAGACAGATGCGATTACTAAGCTAAAATGGTATGTGAAAACATATGGTGTTTTGGAGCTGCTTGGTTACTGTGGTGGATAAATAGCTCCTGACCCTAACCAGGAACTTTTCATGAAAAAAGAGCGGTGTCCCTATGCCTTATAAAGGCATGGGCAGGCTTATTCCAGCGCTCAAGAAGGGGCGGTAGCGAGGGTTTTTTTTCCAGCAGCGGTCGCAGGCGAATGAAGAAGTTGAGCTGAAACTGCGAACACTTCATCCCGGCACTGAGCGGCAAAACTCTGTCAAGAGAGGAGGAAGCAGGTGAAATTAAAAAAAAATAAAATAAAAAAAGAAACCCACTTGGTCATGGGGAAATCAGGTGAGCAAATGCCTTCGTGCAGTTGGCTGTGTGTTCGCACAAAGTCCGTGCCTGGTTTTATGCTTGGAAAGCGTCGCTAAAGCGTTCAGTGGCTTTCCTCGGAGAAGGCTGCTTTCATTTGTGCATGGTACAGTCTGGGAGGAGCTTTCTCTCTCACAAAGGGTTGGATTGAAAAAAACGAAAAGAAAAGCGACCCCCCTCCTAGCCCTGCTCGGTGTAGAGGTAGTTGTATTTCATATACAACTTTATAGTATTTTGTAACCTAAAGTACTTTTGCTTTGCTGTAAAAAATGACTTTGAATCCTGTAGCTTTAAACTTATTTTGTGTCTTGCTGTCTGACAAAACTTATTAGCCTTGCAGATAAGCAGCAGGATGCTTCGAGGGGGGTAAGCTTTATCACCCTTCCTGTCGGAAGGATTTAGATGTAAGATCTGGTTACTATTTAACTGCGGACAGACTTGTTCGGCTCCTAAGTCTCTCCCCAGCTGTGCGCATATTCTTTAAGCCTTGCCCTGCTGCTGCTGCCTGTGCTGTTGGTTCTTTTCCCACTGCTGCTTGCTGTCTGTGTGCTCTGCTCTGTTTGGACTGGAGAGACTTCTCCAAAGCTTCCAAGGAGCCAGAGACTTTCAGAAGGGAGTGCTCAGTGCCCTGGGTTTTCTCCACAGTTGCCCTGTTAACGCCAGGTGTAAAAAACTGTCCTGAATTTCTGAAACAGCTGTGAAACTGGATGGGACTTTTTGTTCTTGTTCTTAGGGCATTGTTTCTGTAACAAATCAGAGCCTGGTGGTATGTCGTCTGTCTGTCCTGTGTGTGAACAGCACATACAGGGACATGCTCAGCAAAACCTAGTACTTGATTAACTCAGAACTATAGGCCTCTTCAGAGAAACTTAAGGAAAATCTTTGTGTGAGTAACGCTTTAAAGGGCCACAGCATGAGTGCATCGGGATTTCCTTTTTTAATTTTTATTTATTTTTAAAGGTCAGCTTGCTGCATGAGATCTGAGTTGTCTGCAAATGTGACTGTAGAGGGTTTACTGGTATGACACCCAGACCAGACAAACCACTTGCTTTTTTTTTTGGCAAAGTCCAGCTGCCAGTGGGTGGGTTTGGCCTCATATCATGATAGCTAGATTGGGATAAATAACCCTATAACAATTTAAATAAGCATAGTTGCTGTGAAGTATCAAGCTCAGCACTTACCATGCTAAGTACAAATACCAAATCAGTGTAGTTAGTGCCAGTACATTATATTAGCAAAGCATATTGAACAAAAGTAGTAGAGGTACTCCACTGTGCATCTCACAATCCCCAAAGGAATGAAAATCTCCTTTTGTTTTAATGCATGAAAATTGCTAAAACAGTCATAAGGCAATTACCATCTTCATTTTTTCCTCCTGCACATTTATTGCTGTGCATTAGTTGATTTTTATAAAGTTAGGAACAATGGCAGACCAGAAACTCCCTTTGCCAAGGCTTGGGTAATGTTTGCATCCTTAAGTGGTTATACAAAATAAGCTTGAGATCTAGGTATGTTTTCTATTAAGAATGTTTTCTATTTGTGTCATGCTTTTCACCTTAAGTGGTTATACAAAATAAGCTTGAGATCTAGGTATGTGTTAAGAGTGTTTTCTATTTGTGTCATGCTTTTCAAACCAATGTTAAACTAGGTCTAGGCTATTGTCTTTGAGCTGTGTGCAATATTTTTAGATGAATCATAAAACTGAGATCCTGTCCTGACAATTGGTGTATTGACTAAATCCCATCTGCCCTTTCTAGTTCACTGAAGTCTTCAAATTCCTGTCTGAGATCATTCAGTGTGGTTTGCCTTGGAATGGGGAGAGCAGCTGTTGTACAGAGTAGTGCTTCCTCTGTGTTTTGTGTGAAATATAGAATGTGTTCCCGCTCTAGTACTCTTAAGGTGTGATGCAGACAATTTTCTCTGTACTAGGATACGTGAACATGTAACAGGTTGCATGACATGAACTGTTTTACCTCAGAACAGATTCCTTGCTCCTCTCCTTGGTCAGAAAGGTTAAGGCAGAGATTTCCTGAAAGTTTAATTTAAGGATGCTCTAATTCATGACAAGTGGGGCCACTACTTTAATAGAAATGAGCAGTTTCTTTAATCTCTTGGTTTCAGCAAATCTGTCTTGAGGTCTAAGTATCCCCATGCAAAGAAAACCTGCTATTGGAAATTTCAGTTCTTCAGTAAAAACTCTCCAGTAATGTTGTATTACTAGTTGTTAGATTATATTTGAAGCAGTGTTCATTCCAAGTGTCAGAGCTAGAGACTTAGCATTGCTGTGTTTCATTGGATAGAGCTGAGTGTTGAAACCTTCGGTGCCTCTGACTCAGCTTTCTTCCCTGAAAGCTGCAGGCTGATGAAACCAAATTCATACTGAAACTTCCTTGTCAGGGTAAGAAAATGCCTCCCGTGGTCATAACTCCTGCAAATACTTAAGCCAAACACAGAGACCCCCTTTGCCCTCCCCCAGGTCTTCCCTTTTCAGACACCATTTGGATTAGTGAGGAGTGCAGGCAGCCGTCCCCACAGATCCCAGCTAGCTCTAACCAAGAAGACAAGGATAATATTTCTGCAGGACAGGAGGGGATGGTGAGCTGGCAGTTCTTGGCTGCCCTGTTGCTGAGAGTGCCCTGCTGGCAGGGCTCTGAGCCCGCTGCAGCTGTGCGCGGCCGGAGGCGGGGTCCTGCGGGCAGCCCTCCCCCCATGGGAGATTCTCCATCCGTCCATCCATCCATCCATCCATCCATCCATCCATCCATCCATCCATCCCCGCCAGCAGCTGCAGGCGATGCTCAGGACAGCAGCTGGCTGCAAGATCTGCTCCTCCGCTCTAGAGCACGTGGATCTCTGCTGAGCAGTGGGAGTCTCTGAATAGGCTGGGATGGTGGTAGGAAAGGCTGCTAAAAGTCTTATTTCTCCCACTTCCCCTTCCTTCAACCTCGTGGGGGAAGGGAGCTTGTCCCGCTTGCTCCCTACGGGGTAATAGCTCTCTTTATTCTGGCAAGTGTGTGCAGACGGTGTCAAGGTCAGGCTCAGTAAATACTGTAATCATTTTACAGAATTTGGTTTTATTTTTCTGCTGTTTTCCCTTTTTTCTGCCACTTCTGCAAATGTAGGCGGGACTCCATAGAAAGGGCTGGGAGTTACCCACTGCTCTACGTGTTGAGTCAGTACAAAAAACAAAGAGGGGCTGAGAAAGGGTTTTAAGAAAAGGCAAAGAGACAGGAACCAGACTCGATGCAGTTTTCCATGCTGGTTTTAATCTCATTTAGAAGCATGCGCTGGTTTTTAACTCTTAAGATGCATCTTCAGTGTACTGTAAAAAGGACTGTTGTGTTTTCTGCAGAACGAGCTAAGTCTTCAGCTGAAATGCTGATTTGCACTTCAGCATCCTGGTAAGAGACAGACATAGCAGGTCATGACAAAAATACAGGCATACTGGACAAGTGACCTGTTTCCTTTCTGAGAAATCAGATACTCCCGAGCTGCCAAAATGAGAAAGAGTCATGCTGGCTGCTTTTACAGGACTAGTGGGGATAGGGAAGATGGATTGTTCTGAACTGCTAGAAACTGAGCTTTTGTATTTGGTAACATTAGGACATTTGCAGAACTTTCCAACACAAGTTACTGTCTTTTTCTTTACACCAGAACTGAACTGGAGGGGTGGTGGGAAAATGACTTTTCAAAGTTAATTTAATTTGTAGTCCCACATCTCCAGTTGTATGCAGAAGACATTGATTGCTGGGTTCAAGTTCAATAAGTAGCAGAGAAAAAAAAGTCTTCCACGAATATGTCAGGCTTTTACAGTATTCTGGGTCAAATTTTTACCTGTCTGTTGAACCATCAAGGTTTTGGTGGAGGAGAAGAATGCAGCAGCCACCCCATGCCATAGTGGTTGCTCCTGTCAGCTGTTGGATTATACCCTTAGCTCCTTGTGTTCAAGGCAGATAAAACTGAAACAAGTGGGAAGGGCTCAGGAAGAATAAGATAGAATATGACGGTCTGCAGTAACTGAGATACCTACCAAGGTTTTCCATGCCATTGTCCTGTATCAAAACCCCCCCCCAAAAACCAACAAAACAAAACAAAAAAGCCCCACCAAAAAAAAAAAAAAATCCAAAAAAACCAAGCCACAAACCAAAGAAATCCCATGCAAAGCCTGCATTTTCTGTCTGTACAGTTGGTAGTGTCTGTCTTGCCTGGGTTTGAATTAGCTTCTGTTGCTGCTCTATGTGCAGGAACAAAAAGTATGAGAAAACAAGTATTTTGATTTTAACTGTTTTGTTGTTTATTATTTATCTCAACAGGCCAGAAGGCTATGTCAGATCTCTCCTTCTGTAGAGGCTGTGCTGTTCTCTGAAAGATAAGTTGGAGCCTATCTCTGTTCTGTTTTTACAGGCAGATGTAGGCAAGTTCTGCCCAGTCTGTGAAGGTCTGAACAGCAGCCAGAGCTGGGCTAGGTGGCCCTGCAGAGGGGGATGAGGTGAGGCTGTGTGGGTGCCCAATCTCACTGGTGCAGAACTGGCTCCTTTTTAAGCAGGTGTGAGGAGGTTGTAGGAGTCTGGGGTGTTGTGTAGGAAGAAAATATGGGCCTGTTTAGGTCACTGTAAACATTGAGTGTATCCCTGGAAATGTTCAAGGTCAGGTCAGATGAAGCTCTGAGTAACAGGGTATAATTGAAAATGTCCCTGCTCATTGCAGGAGGATTGGACTAGATGATCTTCAAAGCTCCCTTTCAATCCAAATGGTTCTATTAGTCTGTGATTCTATTAAATAAATACCTTTTAAAAATATTTTGAATTGTGAGAACTGGAGTTTAACCTCTTGATCAGAGGGATGAAAAACAGATGGTGTAATTGATTGTAAATGTGACTAAAGAAAGATTTCTGCACCTCCCTGCCTGACTTTGGGTACTGGATAGGGGAGTTCACACACATCAGTGATCAGAAGAAATGTGCATGGCCATATTTCCA